GAGCCGCGGGCAGGGGGCGCAGGGCTGGGAAGGTCCCTGAGCCCCAGGAGGAGGGCAAGCCTAAGGGTTCCCACCTGCGAGGGCAGTGGGGCTGGCCTGGGGTCGCGGGGTGGAGGGGCAGGTGGGAGAAGGGTCAGGGCTTAGACAGATCTGCCCCGCCCTCACATCCCCCCCCCACACACACACACACTCGGGGCGGGGGCATGTGTCTTCAGCCCCATGTGGGAGCTGGGGCCTGAGTCACTCGGAGGAAGGGATGGGGGGGGCGGTCAGAGGAGGATGGGGCCTCCTCTTCCTTCCTGCAGATGACCTTTAAGCTGCTACCTCCCCCCCATCCCCCAGCCCTGACCCCCACAGCAATCCTCACCCTCATGTGCAAAGCGGGAGGGGGTACTGTAGGCCAGGGACTAGGTCCACCCTGAGGGACACGCTGGTGCTGGCAGGGGCACCTGGGAGGGAGAGGACTGGGGAAGAGGCTCCTGAAACAGGCGGCCACGTGGGAGGGAACGGGCTGGCGCCTGAGCAGAGGGAGGACAGCTCTGGACCCTCCTCCGGCAGCAGAAAGGGGAAGGCAGCCCAGGTACCGGCCTAGGGCCGTGCGGGGGACAAGCTGCAGCGCCAGCCTGTGCTGACGGGCTTGGGGAGGGGCCGTGGGCACAGGCACTAACACGTGCCGAGGAGCACGGCATCCCCACCCGCTCCCCTGCTGCCCTTTCTTCCACAGGTGTGAGCAGAGGCAAGGCTCGCCCAGACACATGCTAACGAGCACATGCCAAGCCCAGGCCCTCAGGCACACGCATCTACGCGTGCGTGGCAGTTGGGGGTGGGGGGGTGTCGGCACGGAAGGACAGGCTTTTGCCTCGACACAGAAACCCGATGCCCCACTGCTCTGGAAAGAACACAGCTGTGAAACAGACAAACACATCAAACCCCAACCAACAAACTCCATGGCTGACGGGAGGCGATGGGGCAGCGGGTGCGGGTTCAGAGCTGTCAGACAGGCTGCGGAGGGAGGCAGGCTGTCTTCCGGCTCCCGCTGCTCTCACCTCACCTTGCCGGCTGGCTCAGGGACTGCTCCCTGGGGTGGGTGAGCAACGGGCCAGGCCTGAGCAGAGCGGTTGACAGCAGCAGGACGCTGAGGTGAGAGGAGCCGCACAGCAATCCCAGCTCGCTCAGCAGGCGGCCACACAGAAGACGCCGGGCGTTAAACACAGCGCCCGCCCCATGGCAGGGCCCCCGACAACGGGCTGCATGCGCTGCACGGTCCCACGCAGCACACGGACACGCAGTTACACACCCAGCCCTACGGAGCTGCACATGTGGATGCAGTCATACGTAGCGATACATGTAAACCCAAACACTGCGCTGTACATGCAGATACAGCCATAACACACAGCTTTATTTGTTTTTAATATATTCTTATTGATTTCAGAGAGGAAGGGAGAGAGAGATAGAAACATCAATGATGAGAGAGAATCACTGATCGGCTGCTTCCTGCAGGCTCCCTGCTGGGGATGGAGCCTGCAACTTGGGTTTGTGCCCTGACCCTAAATTGAACCGTGACCTCCTGGTTCATAGGTTGATGCTCAACCATAGTGCCATGCCAGCTGGGCCATAACACACAGCTTTAAATGTGGACACACATATAGCTGTACACATGGACACAAACATATGGTCATACAGCACGTCATGAATAATAGAGCCACCCCTGAGGCTCGTTCAAGCTGCCCTCTGCCCTGTGTGGACACACACAGCTGTATTCACGCAGACACACAGAAAAAGACAACTGTACATGTCAACACACAACCACACACACAGCGGTCCAGACACAGCCACACACAGAGAGCAGCGTGTGGAAAAAGCCCCCAGTGATGCTCCCAGCAGCCAGCCTCACACCCGGTCACACACAGCCATCCACACCAACACAGCCACCTCCAGCACATCACACCCTCATGCCCACTTGGCACAGCCTCCCCAGCAGACCCATCCATGGTCACACACAGAATCAAAAGCACGAGCACGTGTGCACACAGACGCGGGCGGGCACAGCAGGGACACCTCACAAGCACATGTGCACACGCACACAGGCAGGCACACAGACGCGGGCGGGCACAGCAGGGACACCTCACCTGCGGGGCAGATGCCAGCATGAACACAGGCCCACTCGAGCCACAGACACAAATGCTTCCCTTGCAGGCAGGCGAAGGCAGGCTGTGAGCTCCCCACTCCTGAGCCCGGGGGCACCCTGTGCCCAGTTCCCACACCCCTCGTCCTGCTCTCCAGCAGCCTGGGGAACCTCTGGCACTGCTGCAAGGGAGGGGCAGCTGCGCTGGGGCCACAGAGCAGGGAGTGGAAGGCCTCCCGGACTTCTGTCTGCCCCCCACCCCAGGGTGCTGTCCCCCCTTCCTCTTCTTGGGCTGGGGGTGCTCCTGCCCACCCCCTACCTATCTGCACAGGGCTCCCCAAGGTAGAACACACACACACAAATGCACAGCACAATCCCAGGTGAAACAATAAAGTCTTTTGCTTTATTCTGGTTCCTGGAAGCTCCAATGTGAATCTGAAAAAAGATGTAACAGAGGCAGCAGCCCCGGGCTGGGGGCAGGGAGCAGTCCCTGCTCCTTTGCCCTGGGAGCCAAGAGGGCAGTGAGGACAGGGCTTAGCTAGAGGCCGGGGTCGAAGTCAGGTCCCCTGAGACCCCTGGCCCTCGCCTGGGCCCGGAAGGTGGAGGAGGAGGAGGCTGAAGAGTCCGGTCCGTTCCTTAGTGACTGCAGCACAGAGGAGGGGGCCACGGGCTACTCCTCGCCTTTTTCAGGGGTACTGAGCTCCCGGGGCCACTTGGGAGCTCCCAGGGGCTCAGCCTCAGGGCTCAGCCTGGGCTCCCCCAGGGGTCCCTCGCCCTCCAGGTCCAGCTCCTCAAAGGATGAGCCGCTGGCGCCCGACTCGCTGTAGCTGTGCTCACTGCGGGTGTCACTGTCGTCCCAGCTGCGGCTGCTCACCCCTGGGGACAGTGTGGCCGCCGATGTCTCCCGACTGCCAGGACCCACCTCCAGGCTCACAGAACTCGCATCGCTCAGCGTGTCAACTCCTGGGCCAGGAAGAGGGAGCGCAGGTTAGCCAGAGAGAGGACAGAGCTCACTCACCAGCCCAGCCACTCAGCCCACACTGTTCATGAATAATAAAGCCAGCCCGGCCCAGGAGGCTCATTCCAGCTGCCTTCTGTCCTCTGCCCTCTGCCCTGACCTGCTGCACTGACAGGGCAGAGGGAGCAAGGAGGAAGGGGGGAGGGCAGCCTGCTGCGCATGCCTCTCCCTACCCCGAATTAGCCTCAGCTCCCTGCACTCCCACAAAGCCTGCCCCCTCCCCAACAGTCCATTAAGGATCACTGGGCCCTGAGGTGAGAAGCTGAGGGTAGAACAAAGAGACCAAATTGATGCCCCCCCTCCACCCCCATTTCAGGCTTGGAGAGAGGTTTGTCCAAGGCCAGGGACTGAATGTTACCCAGAAGGCGTGAGGACCGGAGACTGTGCCCTTCCCCCCATGGAGGGCCTCCAAGGAGCAGCCACATGTGGGAAGTCAGCTGGCCCCTGCCTCTGGCCCCTGAGCCTGCCCAGAGGAGGAGGAGGCGACGGGCCGGAGAGCAATGGAGTCCTGAGGAATCCTCTCCTGGCTGTTTGAAGGAGGGTGCTGGGAGGAAGCACTTTGGGGCTCTCTTCTCCTATGCCCGGGTTACCCCAGGGGGGCCCTTACCTACCCCAACCACTGGTGGTTCCTGAGCCACAAAGCAGGAGGGGACCACGAGAGCACCCTGCTGGCAGCCGGGAGCCCGAGACAGTGCTGCACGGGGCTGCGGGGCCCGTCCCCCCAGCCTGCTCCTCCACCCCCCATGCGCTCCAGGCAAGCAGCCCTTCATCTGTCCTGTCTAAGAGCAACCCCTCAATTCATCTCCCAGATCAGAGGCACTGACCACAGCTGGGGTGGCGAGGAGGGCAAGGCTCAGGCCCACCGTGTGCGGACCCGGACTGAGAGGAAGCTGACAGGCCCTCTCCTGCGTGAGAGGGAGGGGCGGCTGTCCAACATCACAGAAGGTGAGGGGGGCAGCGTCCCCAGATCCTGTCTCCATAGTGACGGAGCCCAGAGCCAGGCGCAGCTGGGACTGCCTGGCATTTGGACTTGGCCTGGAACTCTGATTAAGCCTCAGCTGGAGCCCAGGGTGGGATGGGAATTTGGGGTCTGCCCTCCTCGTCCCCTTGGCCCCAGGAAAATGTCCTCTGGGCCCAGGGCAGAGGTGCAGTGAGCCCTGGAGGGACCAGGCTGCTGGCCCAGCGCCTTCTTCTTGCCGGGGCCCCAGTCATTGCTCTTCTGGTACAGGCATTCAAGAGGGAGCCCAGGCCACGCCCTGATTTAGGGGTGGTCCCCTCTGACCTGGGTCAAGACTCCAGCCCCTCACTGCTCTGTAAATAATGATGAGCGCCCAGGCTGCAGGCCTGAAAGGAGCTAATGAGGAGGCCCCATTAAATTCTCCTGTTCTTTCCACGCACTGGCTCTCTGGGGACCAGGGAATGGAAACC